TCATTTGAGGCTGAGTGGACCTTACGGGAGGCCACCATGACCGGTTCAGATAATCGTCAGCGGTGTCGGTGACCGTGAGCGGGAATCGAACTCGGGTCGCCGGGTTCGTTGCGCAGCGCGCTAACCACTAGGCGACGTTTCGGGCAATGGGCCTTCTTCATAGCTCGGTAAAGTATTCTTGAATTTAATTATTTTAAATCTCGGATATGTACAGTGACTCCTCTACTCACGAAATTTGACTTACGAACTTTGAGAGATACGAACAAGCCTGTCCGTATGTCCAATTGCCTGGCAGGCGATGGCATCTATACATCTGCAGAACACGAAGACCCAGTGGCATCTGCAGGACATGAAGAACCAGTGTCATATACTTGTGCAGGAGATTATACAACTTTCAAAAGCCTGTGTTTAGTGTACACGCCGTACAACGCGTTTGGAATCGACAGGAGTAAAAGTGTGGACTTACGAAACAAATCGAATTACGAACAGAAACCTCTAGTAACCTAACCCGCTCGTAAGTCGAGGAATTGCCTGCGTGTAATATTCACGCCCCCCGTCCACTATCCGGAGCCGACCAATAGGAACCGCGAATTCTCGCGACCGTCGACACGCCCACGAAAGCGTGTTCCGTGCGTGTGCTCGCTACGCTACGTGCGTGCCACGTGGGGCAGTCTGGGCGCGTGGAAATTACACGTTCCCGTGGCGGGGACTTGGAATTTCGGCGTGTAAACCCATCCATGGTCCAGTGCTATGATGGCGCCTCGCTGATCTTCTAAAGTAAGTAACTATCGATTGTAAGGATATTTCATATTATAGACGTACTGTAAATACGGTTTAATGGTCCTGCTGTGTTAAAGATCTCCACGTTGTTTGGCGAGCCGATAACACCTGTTACGCATGCTGGGCAGCAACACATCCCGGCCGTCTTTGTCTCCCCAGAAATATATTGTTTACACCACACCAGGTAGTGTACTAATTTAAGGCAGAGTTGCGTCAAGGGATGCCCTGGATTCGGTAAAGACCCCGATTACCGTCGCCACGTTTACGACGTTTCGCAAGTACGTCGGTCACTTTGTTTCATACCACCACGCCACTTGTTGCGGCGCCTCGAGCCCCACGCTCACGTCGACGTTGCTTTGATGTACGTCCCTTTCGATGTTAGAAACGCATGGGGGTACAGTTTACCATGGGGTACAGTTTACCATGGAAATCCAGTTTACCAAGGAAATTCAGTTTACCATGGAAATTCAGTTTACCATGGGAGTCCAGTTTACCATGGAAATTCAGTTTACCATGGGAGTCCAGTTTACCATGGAAATTCAGTTTACCATGGAAATTCAGTTTACCATGGGAGTCCAGTTTACCGTGGAAATTCAGTTTACCATGGAAATTCAGTTTACCATGGGAGTCCAGTTTACCGTGGAAATTCAGTTTACCAGGGATATTCAGTTTACTATGGGAGTCCATTTACCGTGGAAGTCCAGTTTACCATCGAAGTCCAGTTTACCATGGAAATTTAGTTTACCATGGGAGTCCAGTTTACCATGTACAGTATTCGCTGCTGATGTTGGCCGTGAGTGGGAATCGAACTCATGTCGTGGGGGTCGCTGAACACGACTTGACACACGAAGCAAACAAGCTCAAGAACGCGATTTGATTCGGATATTTCGACCATAATTTAAATTTTTATTTTTTTATCCTACGGGGAAATATTGCCATCTAGTGATGCGGGAAATGGCATGGCTACTTTACACAAGAATAACAAACACAAGGGTGTGTGTTTTTTTTATATTTTTAACAAACAAAGATAATATTTGTTCATCTGTTTAAGAGAGTACTTTTTAGTTCTTTCGGTAAAGTCACGTAGAAAGAAAATAAATTAAATAATAGATTACGACGTTTCGATTGCAACACTAGCAATCGTAATCGGGTACGAATGAATGCGAAAAACAAACCTAGTAAAATTTTGATTTAAAGCTTTCGTGACTGCAGGGATTCATATTCTTGGTTCTTTCGGTAAAGTCACGTAGAAGGGAAATTAAAAAATAATATAAAACAATACAAATTATCACGGCGTTTCGACTGCAACACAAACAATCATCATCAGGTGTGAAATCCACAGCAAGAAAATGTGAAAAAAGTTTTTTTTTTGCTGTGGATTTTACACCTGGTGAGCGATTGCTTGTGTTGCAGTCGAAACGTCGTGAGAATTTTTATTGTTTTATATTTAACTTATAAATATAATGCAATACAACACAGAGAGTCGGCTAACACAACAGTCAACACCCTACCTGGTTGATTACGTTCTTCCAAAGAGTGCTAAATTTGAGAGAGAGAAAGAGAGAGACAAAACACGGACACACACAGACAGACACACAAGCAGAGAGAGAGAGAGAGAGACAACACAGAGACACACAGAGCCAGTGCCTCTGCAGGGCAAGACCAACAATAATGGGTCTCGGGGCAGTTTTATCGGCGTCGTTTTACACAGCATCGCCAC